AAAAAGAAATGGATTCATTTTTCTTTAAAGCCTCAGAATTTATAAGAAAAACAACTAAAAACTATTTATCCACAAATCCTGTTAAACAATAAAGATTACAGCAGCTGCATTCTGACACCACATCACAGCCTATTGAACCAGTTCGGAACCAGTCCAGAACCGGTCCGGATCCGTTTCGGAACCAGTCCGAAACCTCCGGACAGACAGAAACATTGAGCGGTGAAAACTGGGCCCGTTCGGGGTCTGCTCGCTGAAATGTGACTGAAAAGTTGCGATGAAGAGGAGTTAGAACCGCCTCACCTTCATCATCTCCCACAAACACACCATCAGAACCTTTAGAACCCAAAACCCAGTAAAGTTGGAGCGGAGCTCCGCCATACCTCCTCTCATCTCCCCGAGCGGTCCGCTTCTCTGCCGGACTGGGCCGGTGCCAGGGGCGGGGTTAGCGGCGGTGAGGGCGGGGTCAGTTGTTCATCGCCATCATTTTCTGTTCTACTGCGATGCATTAAAACTAGAATTTATTATATAAATGTTGTTTTTTTCTTTTCATGAGGGCAAATGAGAGACCCGGAAGTGACAAATGAGAGACTTCCTGTTTCAGTGAGAAGCAGATAAAGCGGCTCTCCAGCGATGAGTTAAAGATCAGACAGTGAGCATCTCTGGTCCCAAACACTTTCAGTTTCCTTTAGATCCGCATCATGACAAAACCTAACTTCTTCCTCCTCTTCCTCCTCTTCCTCCTCCTCCTCCTCCAGAGGAAGGCCACCAGTACGCATCACAAACGCGGCACAACCAGCATTTCAGTTCAGTCCAGATGATTTCCTCTCAGCTGTTTGAAAGATCGATAATCAGCTAATTATTGACTGATAATCTGCTGATGAGCGGATCAATCAGTTTTCAGGTTCAGCTCCGTTCAGTTTACGGTCTAATCCAAGGCCGCCTCTGATGCCCCCTGGTGGCCATTCATAGAAATACTGCATCTTCCAGAATTACATATGCACCACAATAAAATAATAATAATAATAATAATAATAATAATAATAATAATAATAATAATAATAATAATAATAATAATAATATTACCCTTCTTGCTCTTCAGGCTCCTCCACATGTCCTCAGGTTCTGGTCCGGTTCTGGTTCTGCTGCAGAGATCAGATCAGATATTGAATCAGTTTCCACGGTGACGGATCTGACCTGGTTGATCCTCTCTGGTCACGCTAACAGGACCAGCCTCCATGTTTGTGACGTCACAGCCGGATCATCTGAACGCAGCTTTAAACACCGGAGCAGAAAACAGAAAATGAGCTTCAGCTGATCTGCTTCCTGCCTGCAGCATCTCAACCAGACCGAAACACTTTCACTTTCACCCACTGCAGCATCCTCATCCTCATCATCCTCATCATCCTCATCATCATCATTCTCTGAGTGCACTCAGTGTAGAAGAGTGACTCTGTTTTCCACCATCAAACGTCTTAAAGTCATTAAATATCATATCTGCTCGAAATATGAATCAGAACTGAAACATTTAATCCATCAAACTTAATGAAATAGTTTAATCACTGGTTGTCTTGGAGGATGCAGTGACGGTGAACGACCAGCAGAGGTCAGTGTAGCTTCAGAGTGGAGCTTTGATCCAGTCATTGCTTCATCCGCATCAGAGGTTGTCCAGGTTTTGTCTGAAGGTTTAATGGGGAGGTTTGTGTTTTTTACTGAAATACTTCTGCAGAATCCAGACAGCAGCACGAACACCGGATCAGGTTCTCAGGACGGTTTCCTGTAGGAACCAAAACTTCAGCGTTTGTTCCGTTTCCATCTGTTCTGGTTCTGTTGCTCATGAATTCTGGAGCATTTCTCTCCAGTCTTTGGCTACAGACCTCAGTATCGCCAGCCAACTCGCCTGTTTTGATTGAATTTACCCAGAATGCCATGCTTCCGGAGCGGCCTCCACTCACATCGACCATTTAACCGAACCAGAGGTCACTTTTACGAAGTTTAGAGTTTTTCCCTTTCTGAGAAACGTTTTGAAGAGTTTTATATCTCTTTAAAATGTGAAATTGAGTCATTTTAACTCATCTCTTAACGAGAAATGTTCTAGTTTTAATGTTTTAACTAAAACAAGAAAGTTTGTCACAGAAGATTTTAGATATTAGATATAAAACTCATTTAGTTACAAAAGCCCTTTTTGTTTTAATAAATTTTGTATATTCTTGAAACCTTCTTGTTGAAATGTGATATGACTCTAAATGTTAAAGGTTCTCGTTATGGTGACATAAAATTTGTCTTGATGCCAGAAACTCTGAGGAGTTTTATATTTCCAGTTAAAACTAAGTTTTTCTTTTTAACAGGTTTATATCTCATTATTATGTATAAGATTCTCGTTTTAAGTTTTGCGTCTTAGAAACAACAGAAATGTTTGTCTTAACTAGTTTTATGTCTTTATCAGGAGAATAAAAACCCCAAAGACTTTCAGGACATCAGGAGAAAAAAAGCTGAAAAAATAACCTGGAAATGTTTCATGTTTGGAGGAAAAAATGATGGAAGAGGATCAGAACTGAAGCAACAGAGAGACAGAGAGACAGACAGACAGAGAGACAGACAGACAGAGAGACAGACAGAGACAGACAGACAGACAGACAGACAGACAGACAGACAGAGACAGACAGACAGAGACAGACAGACAGACAGAGACAGACAGACAGAGACAGACAGACAGACAGACAGACAGACAGACAGAGACAGACAGACAGAGACAGACAGACAGACAGACAGACAGACAGAGACAGACAGACAGACAGACAGACAGACAGACAGACAGACAGACAGACAGAGACAGACAGACAGAGACAGACAGACAGACAGACAGACAGACAGACAGACAGAGACAGACAGAAAGACAGAAAGACAGACAGACAGACAGACAGACAGACAGACAGACAGACAGACAGAGACAGACAGACACTCCTCCATGCAAATCCTGCAGAGTCAAATCAGGACTTCATGCAAAGCGCACAAACACAAACATACACACACCCTCCCTCTCTCTTGCTCTCTCAGTTTCTCTCTCTCTCTCTCTCTCTCTCTCTCTCTCTCTCTCTCTCTCTCTCTCTCTCTCTCTCTCTCTCTCTCCCTCCCTCTCAGAGCAGCAGGAGGCCCTGGGCAGCAGCAGGTTTCTCTCTGATCGCGTTTTTGCAGCTTCAGCTTCATTTTCTTCTGGGGATCAAAGATCAAACGGTGAGAAAACTTTTTTATTTTCCTTCATTTTAACAGAATTAATGTTTGAAACAGAAAATAACGCTGAGATCTGAAACCCATCGCTGGTTTTGGTTGGTTTTCGGTGATGTGATCATGTTGATGGAGTAACTTTAATCTGCAGAAACTACAGATTATCAGTACTGCTGCTCTGTTGCCATGGGAACCCGATTTGGCGGCCCGGTTCTGTAGCTCCAGTGGAAAAAGCGGAGTAATACCAGCGCTGAATAATCCAGGAGTTTCCACAGGTTTAGTTTACCTGCTGAATCTGGTCTCACCTGTCCGATCCGCCCGTTCTGCTGCAGCAGCGCCGCCCCCTGCTGGCGGACCACACGCCCTGCAGCGGTTCGGTCCGGGCTCCGCTCCAGGAAAATATTCAAATTTCTGACGGGTGAAAGAAATCTTCTGTGCTCGGTGCCAAGAATCAAATGTTTCATTGAGTAGAGACGAACTGCCGGTCCAACAGAACCACTGAAAGAGCCCAGAGACCCAGCTGGAGGGACTCTATGGAGCTACAATAAGGCCATGAAATTTATTTAGAAGAAAACAAGTTTGAAACTAAAAAACGAATCTGAAAATTAAAAAACAAAATCTGAATTCGAAAAGTAATTTTGAATATATTTTTGCTTAAAATCTTTATTTTCAGTTTAAAATAATTTCACGATAAGTTTTCAGTTTCATTTTTTTCCATTTTGAATTAGCTTTGTGGCCCTAATGTGACTCCGTACTTTTCCTCTCCTGTGGTTCTGATTCTGAGGAACCAGTGTTTGCATGCGTTTTCACAAACATCCACTCAACAGACACAATGTGTGCATTTGTTTGTGCAAACACACACGAACACACACACCGCCTGTCTCTGCTCACCTTTCAGTACACTCCACACTTTTCAGATTTTCATCTGTAACCAGTTTCTGGTTGGAATGTGATGAATGTTGAAGCGCAGTGTGAAAACTTAATCTGAACAACCTGCTTCCTTCTCATCATCCTCAGCCTCCTGAACTCTGATTGGCTGAGATGACCAACCAGGTGATGAACACCTGTGACTCGGCGGTGGGCGGAGCTCCGCCAGATGAAGCAGCTTCTCTACAGGTGAATGACTGAATGAGGCTGTGGGTTCAAATCCCACATGAGCCCAGAGTAACCTGCACGGGAACCAATCAGAAAGAGGCCCGCTCTGAGATCATCTATAGCGAGGAGGTCCCACTCTGACCTGAAACACAACAGCAACACATCCAGGCAGCAATAACAAAGGAAACAGAAAAAGCAATAATCACGTTATTTTAAAATATTTCTGGATGTTTTATTGCCACATTTTGCCCAGAAATATGGAGATTTAAAACTCGTTCAACAAGCAAGTTCTTCAGCTTAATGAATTTTATGTTTCATTATATTGTGAAAGTTTCTTATTTTTTCTAATTCCATACCTCGTTAAACGTTTTAATGAATTTTATGCTTCATCGTAACGTGCTAGTTTCCCGCTCTATCGAGCCGCTGGTGCTGAATTGACTTCCTGCTCTGGCTGCGTTCTGATTGGCCGGCTCTCCCAGGTGTTCCCAGACTCCACTGAGCATGCTCCCAAGCTCTGCCGGCGGCTGCCGTCCATCGTGGTGGAGCCCAGCGACGCAGACCAGGTGGAGAGCGGAGAGCTCCGCTGGCCTCCCGATGATGTCAGCGATGATGTCACACAGAGCCACCAGCAGGCGGCAGGTGAGGTCGCGACCCGTCACTTTGCCCCTTGACCCTGACCTCAGTGACGTCAGCTGCCGGTTTCTGCCCAGGGCTACCCATGGAAGGGGCGGAGCCTCCAGAGCTGGTGATGGGCGGAGTCTGACGGCTCCAGTTTTACCCAGGTGAAAAGGCGGAGCTAACACACCTGAAATGATTGGAAGGCTGACCTCTGACCTCTGAGGACTCATGATAAAAAACAACCTTTTGATGTGTTCATTTTATTTTTATTGGTATTTTTGGAAGAAACTTATCCTGATTTATTCTAAATCATATTTTTCACAGATCAATAAATAGTTTGATGGACACTGGGCTTTTATTTTGAAAAACCAAAACAAGGCCTTAAATGTTCCAGAAATGTTGGAGCTGCAGTTGTTCTTGTTCTGTAAGAACATTTTGAATTATTTATTGGTTTTTCTGGCCTTTTTTCAGCTCCACCAGATTCTGCATATGAAATTGGTTCGTTTGAAATAAGTTTATTTTGTTATTTCTTTTTGTTTCCTGGTTTCTGTCGCCAGTCAGATCGGCTGCTGGTTCTGACCCAAAGTTGTTTCAGCTGAATTCAGGCCTGATTAAAGCATCTATTAGCTGTTAAAATCCTCCCAACAGGGGGCGACATTTTTAGATTTACTTGAATAAATCTCCATGGAGCGACTTTAGGTTTTGTTTTATTCATTTTTGATTCAGAAATTTTCTAGAAAAAACTTGAAAATTTCTGAGTATGTAAAGTAAAAAATTTTGACTTCTGGAAATTTTGTGTTATTTTCAATTAATTTTCTGAGATTAATCTAAAAATATCAGATTTTTTTCTAGCAATTTTCAACTTTAGAAACTCATGTGACTTTTTGAACTCAAAAATTTTCTTTTTTCAAAAATGTTTTCAAACTTTGAGTTTTTTTGGTGTAAATTTACCGTTGTATATTTCTCTTCCTATCTTTGAATTTTTAAAAACGTTTTTATCTCACATCAGGTTTTTAATGATCTCGTGTTTCCGGCTCTCGCTGTTTGAACTTCTTGACCTCTGGTGACTTTTCTCTTCCAGTTAAATTTTTTGGATCTTTTCTTGGCGTTTTTGCTTTCTGGGTTTGTTTTCCTTCTGTTTCGACGCCGTTGGCGTTCTGGAGTAAAAAACGTTTCCCTGCAGTTCACCAACAGAGTGCATGGAGTCAGTTTATTACAAATGACTGAATGATACAAAGAAATGATGATAAACAAAAGAGTTCAGATGTGTGGAAATCCTTGGAAATAAGAAACATTTGTTAGTCACGCATATCCGTCTGCAGCACCATAATCTGATCGATGCATAAAAATGAGAAACAGAGCAGATGTTTGCTGTTCCTACTCAGCTGCATGGACTGCAACAAAACACAGAGCGCATGGAGTCCAGACCACCAATCAGCTGCAGCAGCAGCTGTTACATCACCGCAGCACCGTCCAGTCAGGATTGCGTAAAATAAAACATTCTCCAATCAAGCAGCAAGAAGGATAAATAAAAGCTCCACCTGTTTTCTCCAGGTGTTTGTTCATCCGATGGAAAAAGTGCACATTTGGTGATTTAGCATCAAAACCTCACCTGCCTCAAGCTACAGGAAACATGCACTTTATGATAAAGGTTTGTCCAGCCCAAAACTTCAAGTCCACAGGTCAGTGAAACTATGGAGGCCCGTTGGTGCCACGACAGAGGAAGGAATAATCGCAGGGTGGATCATAACTTATAAATATGACTTTGGAAGTTGCAATTAATTTAGGCTTTTTATAGAATGCAAAATCAGAAATATGACTTTAAAGCCATAACTGTGATAGAAAGTAAAAAAAAACCCAACTAAATTATAATAATTGGACATAAATATGATATACAAAGTTAGAAATATGAGCACTAGTGTAATAATTTAGTCTTTTAGTCATAATATGAAAACAGTAAAGGCTGTTACTTTTAAAGTTGTTGTGAGATTCAAAGTCCTAATTTAGACTTTAATTATAACATTAAAAGTCCAAATTCTGAAACTTTACATCAAATACTGAAACTTCAAAGTAAAAATCAAAACTTTCAAAGTCATATCTATGGCAAGCCACATGGCACTTTATTTCTCTAAAGTGTTTTTTATTGGCTTCCATAGAGAGAACGAATCGTGTTTTGGTCCAGAACAATCACCATAGTGGAGTTAGCCTAGCTTAGCGCTAAAGGTGGAAACAAATTACAACTATGAGAAACCAAAAAGCTAGAAATAATTTTAATTATTTATCATGTCATAAGAAAAGAAGTCAAGGTCAAATGCTCAAAGTCATATTTTCACCATTTTATTCATAAATGTTTAAATGTCAGTTTCAAACTATTTAGTTTGAGAGCGAAATATTTATCCTGCTAACTAAATATTTAATTTGATAATATTTAGTTCCAAACTCAATATTTACTTTAAAATTATTATTATTTAGCTTGCTAAGTAAAGATTTGTTTTTAAACTATGACATAATATAATTGAATCAACATCATATTATTTTTGATAATTAACCTCAATTTTTTACTCTTATGACAGGATAAACAACCCAGATTATTTCTGTTAGTTTTTGGCAAGAAAAAAAAATGCAGCAGCAATAAACATCAATAATAAACACAAATCAATGCTGGAGTTCTCCAGGGCTCAATCATTGGGTCTCTGTTTGTCTCAGAAACTGCAGATTAAAATAAATCAGTAAACATGAGTTTCTACTGCATTATTGTTTTACCAGGTAAAACAATAATTTCTGGTTACACGATGAAGCAAGTTGGATGGGAAAGTGAAAGTTTGTTTGGAAGTGAATGAAAGCCAAGCACAGTGTCAATTTGCATTCCCACCGTTTCTGGTCGTTATGCTAAGCTAGGCTAATTAAGCCGAGCAGTTTCGTTCATTTACCTGGAAATGATCCGGATCATTTCACTGCCTGTTCAGCCTTCTAAATACGAAGGTTTCAGCTGCTTTAACACAAAGACGGAGAAAAAACACAAACATTATCCCAGCACACAGCGACAATGTACAGCTAGCAGCTAACGGACACGCAGAAACCCACTCACACGTGACCTTGGCCCTCCGACCGCAAAATATTCTGACAGAGAGCAGTTCCCTGAAACTGGACTTTATGTTTCTACACAGACTGCGAGTTGGAAAGAACCTGGTGACAGACGATTCTCTCTGAATCAGGCCAATTCATCTACAACCAAAAATCAACTGTTTCATTTGTCTAATTTTGTCCTTAATGTTGATAACTTTGTGTTTCAATGGGACATTTTAGTGTAAATTTGTTTAATTCTTCAATATTTAGCCTGGAGCCGTTTCAGTGCTGCCCCCTTATGGCTGAACTGCAGATGAATTTTCCTTTTGTTTCCAGCTTGGTTCATGCCTGTCACACAGGAATCAAACCCCAAACCATCTGTCTTTGACAGCTGCAGGTGTTTTCACATGTCGCGATGAAAGTCTCCAATAAAGAAGAAAAAGTTGCTCTAAAAACAAAAAAAAAAGTTGCTCAATTTGAAATTAGTAGCGTTTTTGAAAAAAGTTGCTAGATTTGTCCGTTAATTTTTTGGAGAAAAAGCGTTAAATTTTGTGGCTAGTCCCTGTTTTTTTAATTTTTTTTAAGTGACTAAATACAACAACTGTTACTCAGCCGACAACAAGGCCGCAGCCCCGCTGCAGCCTCTCTGCTGATTCACACGCTTAGCCACGCCCCAACTGGCTCCGCCCACTTTAGAATTTTGAGATTTTTGGGGGCGGGCTTTGCTTCCATAGGGGGTCAGTTACACTTTAAGAAATCTTGTCTATTCTCAGCTTTTTAAACTAAACTTTACTCTTCATCTGTCAACTGATTCATGCCTGTAGAGAGGCGATGCGTTCGAGGACCAGTCGGAATCGTTAAGCTTTCTCTCATGAAGACATTCCAGTTATTTCACAGAGTTTCTCCCACATTCAGCACTCGCAACATTCAGCAGAAGCAGCACAAACCCTAACCCCTGGCTGTCGTCGGTCAGGCAGCAGAACTTAGGAACATTCAGCAGGTGTTCTACTGGACCCGGACCATGAAGCGTGGAAGCAGGTGGGACCCATCTGATGGGCAGAAAGCTGAAACTTTTGCCTTATAAAGATACACAGAATGCTATAAGGACATTTCTATCCTCTGTTCAATGCAACACAACGGATCATTAAAGCACAAGTTATTAATACATGTCTGTACAGAACGCCGGTGAGAGCAGCGGCTTGATTTTGTAGCGTGATTAATTTTGGTTGAGCTTAAGAGACAAGAAAGCAGCTCTACGAAGATACACTGTGGCCAATCACGATGTTCTGATGAAATCACTGGGCACAGATGGGCGGTTTGTTCTGGACAGGTCCAGTGCATCCACACCACCGCCGGTCCAAACACAGCGCCAGGAGGGCCTCCGGCTCCGGCTCGCCCCACAGCGGCGTGGAGGCACGACGTCTGCCCCGATGTGCTACGGCTGCCCTCAGGGCGCGTGGTGGGACCCATCAGGCCCACGAGGCGGTCGCTTGGTGCTTTCGTTGGCGTTGGAGGTTCGGGTTCTGGTGGCGGGTTTCTTCTCCTTGGTGGTTTGGCGAGTTTGAGTCAGAGACGGCGTTGTGATGGCGGCCGCCTGCAGACTCCCGCCGGGCTCCACGATGGTGTTTATGACTACAGCAGAAAACACAAAACACAGCACTTAGAAAAACCAGAGCAGAAAAAATCTGTTTAATCTGTCGGCCTGTATGATGTTATGATCAATAATTATATAAATACAGAGAAGAAAAGACATCAGCAATCGCCCTGAAAGATGGCGAAGAAAACAACATGGCCACCAAGCTGAGACATAGGTGTTCCTCAGGGCAGCATGTTAGCACTCCTGCTTTTCACTTTTAATAAAATGATCTTCACAGCAAGTTTTAAAATGAAAATTCAACTTTTATGCAGATGACGCAATCATTAGTTGCTTCACTCCTTAAGCAAACCAAATCCTTGAATTTTAATTTGTTCGGTTAATTAAAGCTGAAGTCGGTGTTGGTGGGTCTGAGTCGATTCACAGGAACAAATCTGGACTCGATGAACGTCAATGTGTGAACGTTCAGCAGACGGGAGGACTCCCCTGATCGTCTAAAGTTTGTTTCCATTATCAACCTCAACTTCCTGATAACTAAAGAAGAATAACGTCAACAACTGATGAAATTATGCTGGTTGATTCGCTCCAAACCTGTAGATGGAAACATTCTTAATTAGCATTTTGTTTTTTCTTTTCATATTTTCTGGGAAACAACTAAAACCAAAAGTTATTGAACCCAAATACC